GCACACATAAAAGTACACACTGAAGCATCAAATCAAAACAATACCCTTAGCTTATTGCAACAATTTTCTATTACAGAAATATGTTGGACTCTATGAATGTAAATGTCTATTTATTGCTTGTCACGGCTGCTTCCACATTGGTTTACCACATGTTTACAAACATATACACATATACTGGCTTCTGCAACATTCATGCTTTCGCACTCATTTGCCCAAACGCACTCATACTCAATACGCCTTTTGTTTTTGCTTTTGCTTTGTTAGTAGATCTGTGTAGTGTTTTAATCTAAACACGGTCACCCTTATGGCATTCACCTTGCTACTTCCCCATTGGCGTATTCCCCTTCAAATCTGCCTTCCACTGAAGCTTTTCCCTTCAATTTAGAGGCATTTGTTCTGTTTTGTTGTGTTGAAGAGTTCTTTCATTCAGATTTTCCATTTACCATACGCTATTTTCAGGTAAATATGTTTACACTATGAGGTATTTCTGCTTAGCTACTGTTCAAGAGTTTTGAAGTTCTTAGAGTCGAATTTGATACACATTTATAGAAGCTTCAAACAAGAAAAATACATTGTAATTTTCAATCTCTCAAATGGAAGCTATCATCCACTAATCTGAACGTTACTTTACTGAATCTCTCCAGCTTAAATTTTATACCAGAGGAGGTCGATATTAAATAGTGTCTAGTATATGATTCGTTTGATTTTACATGTCACTTGTTTCTATGAGAAACCATTTTATACCCAGAACTTTGTATATTAAATTTGCCACGAGCTTTTTACACCTAGCAGAAAAATTCGGAGGCTCTACTTATATGTATATACAATATATAAAACATCAGCATGGCGTGCTGAATAAATTATATATATACAAGAATTTGGGAACTAGGACTTTGAGATATCCTCATGGAACTATAGCATACAAACTGAATGATTGGTATCGAGTTCTTGGACGGAGAACTTTTTTTCAGACATAATTTCTTGACAGAATTTGACAAAGAATTAAGTGTTATCTAAGGCATTACCAAAATATCAGAACAATTTTTACAGACGACTGGACGACTGGACGACTGTAGCATATAGCCGTCATACATACTTCATTATTAGAAAAGACATTTTTTTTTGGCATATTTCCATGTACATGGAAAATGTGAATACGAAAGAGATATGCAATATATAGATATATTTATCAGTATTTACACGTATATACTTGTCTTTTTACATACAATACCCACTGCACTCTGAACGCTCTATGCACGAGTATATATTTCAGTATGCTCGAAGCTTGTGAGAGCAAATATAAAAATAATTGCAGTTGCAATGCCAAAAAGAAATACAACAACATTAAAAAAATAAGCAAAGAAATTGCAAAAACAAAACAGCAACTTTTCTGTGTACTTTGAATAAAAATAACAACAAATACAGCAAAGAAAGTAAGCAACACTAAAGGAAAAAATAAAATAATAATGAAAAAATAACAGTATTAATAGAAATAAGGTATCAAGGGACCTTAGAAACTCGTAGTCCGCACTTCCGATTAAGTCTGTAACTAAAAGCTAGAAAATTACCTTTGTCGCGAGAATGTTAATAAATTATTCCGATTATTACCAAAAGCGTGAGTTCGGTTCGACGTTTCACATACGAGAAGGCTTTTTATTCCATTTCATGTAATTGCATAGCCTAAATCTTAAAACTAACAGCTTAAGCGGTCCCGGTGGTCTAGCACCGTCAAATTCAGGGTGTCTTCTCGATTATTTTTTAAGGTTTAAAAAAGAGAAATCAATTTAAAATGTTTATTGATATACTTATGACAAGTACAAATATATATTTTTTTTAATAAAAAAAATTTTAACAATATTAAAAATGCTTCCAAAAAAGTTATCTTAAAAAAGGTTCACCGGTGCCGTTGTTGATTTTGACTCTTCTGAACATGGGAAACATAAAGACCAAGAAAATCATTAATCAGCAAGAGTGCAGCTATTTCTGAAACTAAACCAAAAAAAATAAAAAATTAAAACAATTCGCGCTTTTGAACTTCAGATTCTGAAAACAGCTATGTTTGGACCAGTTTTAGATCGAAAAAATCGAAGTTCTTAAAATAAAAATTTGATCGCAGTTCCAGCGATAGATATTGATCTTATAAACATCATATTAAAATTTCAAGTGATTCGGATGGATAGTTTTTTTTTTTTTTTTTCATCAACGACACGCCGAAAAAGGGAGTTTTGAGATAAATGAGTTTAAAGTATCCACACATCGAGCCCCTCGACCGCGCGCTACCTGCTAAAACGGCTATAGAAGCTAAAATAATGTGAATGTGTTAAAAAAAGATCGATTTTTTGAAAATTCTAGACCATCGGGACCACTTAAACCACTAGGTAGGTTTGTATTACAAAGGGGTAAATATAACTATTTTTCGAACTTTCCTTAAATATTTTAATGAATTAAGTTAAGGTTGGTATTAAAGCAAGTAATATCTTAGTATTGAAAATGTATTATTAGGGTATGCAAATAATAAAGTTGCTTAATTCAATTTTTTATAATTTTTATAATTAATTTTATTCTTAATTTTAGTTTTAGGTTTCAATATATGGCACCTGAAGTAATAAGATCATTTGTTCCTAAGAAAAGTCAAAGCTCGATTGGTCCCCGAAACAGACGAATTTTTCGAAAAACAGCCTCGTGTCAACGTTTGTGAAACAATGCTGTCCAACAACAATTATGTCGAGAAATGTGTTGTTATTGCCGATAAGTTTTGGAACCATGCTTAGGAGCCGGAAACAGATGATCAACTCGCCGAATAGGTGAAGATGAGCTGTAACTGAAAAAGCAACGACAAAGCAGGTCACATGTCAAGGTTATGTCGACAGTTTTCTTCGATGATCGAAGAATGGTGCACTCCGTATTCTTTTCGACCGGCCAAACTGTTAACAATACTGTTTGAGTATGCCATAATAGACTTCACAAAAGCTCCAGCGATTAAAGTTGCTCCACAGCGTATGAGTGCATCGGGTTCCGTGCATTTACTACAATGTTCTATTTCATTTTATTTTATATTCATTTCGAAGGTAAGTAAACAAATATACGCACATAGCTTGTGTTTGATGCGCGAAACTATGTGCAGTTGTGTAAATGTTTACTTTATTACTTAAAATATTGAAGTAATCAAACGCTTATTCGCTTTTTGATAAATGTATATGGTCGGCATTATACGATAAACTAAACTAAATAAAACTTTTATAATATTAGTAAAATATTATATCTTTGCTAAAATACAATGGGTCCAGGTCATATATTGTCAAAAAAGTCTTGCGGTATTTTCGCTAGTTGGCGCTGAGAATGCGTAGTTCTAGTTTTATTCGTCGCATCCGGTCATGCTATACCTTTTTGGAAAGCTCATTTTACGCGCTAACACGTGTTTGATTGGTTGTCGTTTCTTCTAAGTCGTTCGTGAGTGAGGACACATGGAGCAAAATAAAGAGAAAATACGGCATATTTTACTGTACTACTACGATAAAGGCAAAAATGCATCTCAAGCCGCCAATAAAATGTGTGCAGTTTATGGACCCGATACAGTTTCCATTTCCACTGCACAACGATGGTTTCAACGTTTTCGTTCTGGTGTAGAGGTGGTCGAAGATGCGCCACGCTCCGGAAGGCCTGTCGTCGAAAATTTGCGATAAAATCGCTGAATTGGTCGACAGAGACCGGTATAGTAACAGCCGTAGCATCATCAAAAAGAAAAAAAAATTTATGAACAATTGAAAATTCGCTGTAATTATTTTCCGGCAACATGAAAACCACAATCTTTTGGAGCTTTTATGATAATAATATTCAACGGGAGTAGCTCACTCCTTCATAATAAAATATCGGTAGGCTGCAGACAGCGGTTTTTAATAACAAATAAAATTTTAAGCTTTAGTATTTCTATCAAAAATTTCTGCCAAAATTTTGTATGGTAATCTGTCGTCTGATATTACGCATACGCCCCGACGAACAGCGCCCGAAAAATGCGTGGAAGAGTGAAGCCTTTTTACATCAGCGAGACTCGTTCTTGTTTGCAAAGAAAATATTTAATTAGAACAAATAACAAACAAAACAATCACATGTAATATATAAGGCGGAGAAAGAAAAATTTCCTTTGCAACAAACATAAGGGAAAATTTTTCTGTTAATGAAATACTCACGTGTGCGCTTAAAGGAAATTAAAAGAAACAAGAGGATATAGAAATAATGTTGAATATATGAAAAAGTAGCAAACGCGGTAAAATAAAGAGTGCATATAATAAATGGTATGATAAAGTGACAAGTCGACAGACAGCTGCTAGGCATAGCAAGAAAAAGCACTGAAGCTGTTTGAACCGAAATTGGACTGAGATGCCGTGGGAATATGTATTACATATGTGTGCATAATGTAATCGTAATGGTGAAAGGCACAACAGCGTACGTTAGTAATTTTAACTTACAATGGAGCAACTAACTGGCAATTGGATTTGGACCATGACAAATGTTGTACTGACGAGATGCCATAAGTACGAATAAATTAGAATATACAGGTATACCGATCATTTCTGGTGTGGAAAAAAATATATTAAGAAGGTAAAGTAGAAATGAAGTATTGTGTATTTTAGTCTGATCTATGTATATACCACAACAAAGGCTCTAGAGGTTCCAATTGATACATAAGGGTCTAGCGTATTTTCAGTACATTTCTTTATCGCTGTATTATTATAAGAATCTTTTTGAGCTGGTTACATTTTTCTATTAATTGGCGATGATAGTTATCCTTTTTCTGTATGGTCTGGGTAATATTTTTAATTTATTGATATTTATAAGAAATTGTTAAAATATTCGTTATTCCTTGTGCTGAAAAATGTTCATGAGAAAAATAGTTTTTTAAATACATTCTCAATTGAGTTGAAGTCCATATTCTTGGCTAACATTGATAACTATAAAAGCTGCTTTACATATTTATTTATTATAATTTTTGTTTAACTTACCGACAGAAATGTAAGTATTGCCTAAGCAGTCCTGCAAAGAAAACAAGTATTAATTAACAAAGGTTTACTTGTAATACGCTAAGTACAAAAATACCAAAATTAGTAAATGAAAAACTAAATGCATTAACGAAAATTGGGAAAAGGGTTCTTATATTATAAATAACTAATTGATAATAGATAAGTTTATGTAGATTTTAAATTTCAAAAGTAATTTACTTAAAAAATGATAAAATTATTATTTCGAAAAATTTTGTGCAGCTAGTTCATCTATTTACTGGAGTTTGTATTTTAAGATTGTTGTTGTAAAACACTGGGGAAAATCTTTTTTCGTGGAATTGTTTATTATAGCAAATTCTAGGAAACAATAGAATGGTACTTTAGTATGCGCGGTACTTAAATATCACTTTAGAAAAAACAAGAAAAAACGTTAACTTCGGTTGCACCGTGAAAGTGAAGGGTCACTGGTGCATTTCTTTTAGTAACTATGTGTTCAGTTTGTATGGAAGCTATATAATCTGATTTGAACAATTTTTTCAGATATTATATTACTACCTTAAGCAGTAATTCATGTCAAATTTCGTGAAGATACCACGCCAGATGAGAAAGTTTTCCCTACAAGAACTTGATTCCGATCGTTCAGTTGATAAATAATATTAACGATAAATAACATTAATAAGGCTGTATCAGGAGCACCATAGGTGCTTTTTCACACGCTTTAAAAAGTAATAAGTCAAGTCACATGCCTCTTTAAAAGGACACAAGTACAAATATATTTAATGATGCGCTACTTCTGTTATGAGAATGGCCTTCACAAAATTTTGACTGCATTACAATTTCGGTTAGGCCCCACATTTAATTACGCCACTCCTTGACTGCGCTTTTGGCATATCATCGCTTACTAACTTAACGCTCTTATAATATATATGCATGTTTGTCAATGTGTGCATATATTCGCGTGAATGACCGCAATTGACGCCCCACTAGGCCATATAAGCCGAACTCAACAACAAGTGCTCCGCCACTGCCTTTTTTGAGCATAAGAGCGCCAAAATAAATAAACCTCAATCTGTCAATGCTGCAGCCGAAGTTGTAACAATAACAACTGATGGTATGTGCCGAGTGGCAGTTGCCTCAGTAAGTAAAAACATTATTTAATCATGCAGATTTTTTTGCCTGTTTCGTTACAATTCCCCGCTGTTCGTGCGAACTTTTTTCTAACACACACACTTTGCATAAATGCGCGTCACATTTGTTGCAAATGACAGCAACATGTTGCAGACTTTTATTTGTATATTTTTTATGCAAAGTTTTCTCAACAATAAAAGTTTTTTCATTGCTACTTGGCGTTTTTATACTCTTACTGTTAGTTTCAGTTTGTGTTGCAACCACACGGCTTTAATGAATTTTCTCGCGCTGATTACAAACACTTCGAATTCTGCAAATTCTTTTGCATTTTTACATATGTATGCCTGACAAAACTTTAGTTGAAGTAACATACAAGTCTTCTTCTTGATTGGCATAGACACCGCTTACGTGATTATAACCGAGTTAACAACAGCGCGCCAGTCGTTTCTTCTTTTCGCTACGTGGCGCCAATTAGATATTCCAAGTGAAGCCAGGTCCTTCTCCACTTGGTCCTTC